GATATATTTTATTGTGTTCAATTTAATTAGATTTATCTTTGTTTAATTAGGATTTAATTAGTGGGCTAAGTATTTAATTAGGGGCCATTTAATTAGACCTTTTCGGTCCATCCTATTGTAATTAGGATGCTCGGCCATATGCCTATAAATAAAAGCAGTATGGACCGAGCATGCTAGAGAGTTCCCGATTCCTAATAGCCTCACGCATCATTATTGGAGCTCTCACGTTAGATTAGAAAGAGAGAAAAAGAGGGTTTCACAATTAGAATAGCCATATCATTCTCGAAACTCTCTCTCTAGAACTTGAAGTCTCTACACATTCTATTCCGCATATTATTCTCTGTAGAGCCAGTAGACTAGAATTTCTCTCTCTAGCTGATACGTTCGAGTACTGTGTAATTGTTCTTCATGAATACATCATTCTATATACACGGTATACATTATTTATGAAATTTCTCTTCTACTATTTTAAATACTATTCTATATTATTAGATTATTCGACTGTTGTATCTGGGCATATCTCACACAATAACAATTTTTTACGAAATTTAATTTATAAAACATTAATAAATAAAATAGAGTCAAAGTAAAACATGTGAATAGTGCAAAAAGTCCAATGTTTCATTTTAAAGAGAACATAAGTGGTATGTTTCAAGAACAAAGACTATCCTCACTGAAATAAACAATAGGCCAGCTTTCTAATGCACATATATTACACCTAAAATGTGGATTGTGGAGTGACTATGATAAGATTTTGGTTAAAGAGTCAAATAAGCCCCCGTGCCTTTTGGATTGCTCAATTTGCCCCTGAACTAAGAAAAGTTTCAATTGACACCCTGGACTCGATAAAAATATTCAACTTTCACTTTTTGCATGTTACCATCCGATCACTGCTACGTCACCTGATAGGGTGCCAACTGTGCATGTAATGTGGTAACTTAAGGGGTCAAATAATCCCTTGAACCCGTTTGAATTGTTTAATCCCCCCCCCCCCCCCCCCCCCCCCGCAACCATTAAAAACATCAAAATTACGAAAAATAGAAATAAAACAAAAAGTATAAAAATATAATAAAAATAAAACAAAAGTACAAAATATAAATATGAAATATTTATATTTTTTCAATAAATGAAAAATAAAGAAATCTGCAGATGCATAAAATCTGCAACTCCACATTACATATGTAGAATAAATTATACGTAGTATTAAATTACGGAGTACAAGAAAACTGTTTTTATTTGGGAAAATTGTCAAATAAGTACACGTACTATTATCAAAAAGTCAATTGAGTACTTGCACTTTTCTTTTTTTTTTCTTTTTCTTTCTCTCTTTCTTCCACACACTTCTTCTTCTTGGGTTTGCATCCATCCATCGGTTCCCTTTCTTAATTTCTCCCTTGTAACTCTCTTTCTCTTTCTCTCTTTCTTTCTCTCTTTCTTCCACACTTTATCATTCTCTTTCTTTCATTTTAGCTTTTTCGCCAGCAGCCTCTTCTACTTCATTCGTCCAGCGAGGGTTGGACCAACCATCCTAGATCTAATGTAAATCTTCTCTTCAATCTAGAGTTGCATGGATTTGGGGAGCCACTGCAGGGGTTAGGGGAGACGTTGTATAGCAGCAGAGGTTCTTCATTTGCTCGGCGCTGTTGGGAGTTGTTAATTTGCTCGGCGTTGTTGCTGGGCTTTGGGTTGTTTGGTGGTTTCGCGACAATCGTCGGAGGGTGCTCCGTGGTTGAACCATGGGAGGCCGTACTATGGAGTATGGAGGTTCATGGTGGCATAGGATGTCATAGTGTGCAACTGTGCAACAAGGCAAAGGATGTATATGGTGATTGGTGACTCGTTGGAACCACCATATGGGAAAGAAAATGCCAGTCAACGACGTAGAGATAAAAGGAAGAACGATAAAAGGAACAACAAAAATAAAAAAGAAACTGAAAATAGAAAACAACAACAAAAAATGCCAAGTAGACTTAAGCAGGTAGGTTACCGGCTCATTACCGGTAAAAAATGCCAATTACTAAACGTTTATCTTTACAATGTCTATTTTTTAGTGCAAACTCAACCAATATAAATCCATGATTATATACATGAGAAAGGAAGATAGATGAGTATATGACAATGCTTAAGTTAATGACTGATTTCCTCTATATATATGATAGTGTCTTAAAATTTTAAGAGTATAAGTGTGAGAAATGATGTATTGATGTAGAATGCAATTATGCCACCATTATTATGAGAACATCACAATTACTATTAGATGCAATAATATAAATATTATTGAAAAAATGGCACCAAAATTACTATTGGGCTTTCTCAAGATACAAATATGATCAATATTCTATTTTCCAAAAATATGACTTAACTCTGTTTTTAAAACCTGTTTAACCGGTTAAAAATACAAACCAACTTCATTCCCGGTTACCCACCCACTGACCCACCTTTTCAAAAAGAATTAACCGTCTCTGCACATTCTCGGAGACTTTCTTCGAGCTCTTCATTGCCGATTAACAATGGAAGCTAGCGATTCGATTGCTTGATACGCGACACCATTTTGTTCTTCACCGTCTACATTCGCCGTGTTTCTGCTCGTCTATTTCGAATTCAACTTCTCAACTTCGTTGAACACCTCTGTTCCTACCCGGCTCATTACGCGAGGTACGATGTCGATTTTATCTTGTTAGTTTCCGTTTTCGTTCACCAACATTGTACTCATTGTATCTTGTTTCCACACTCCAATTTCACTTTCGTAATCCTTTAGCATATTTCTCTTCTTTTTTCCATTTTCTATTCATCTTTGTTTGACATTATGTTTTTCCTGCGCTCTGTAGTATTTTTTCTTTCAATCTCGTAAGATTACTTCTCTTCTCCTACTGTATTGATTGCATTTATGGATCGACGTTTTTCAACTGTAAATTGGACTATTGCATGTTATACTGTGCTTGTGGTAGCTCCTGTTTATTTATATGTACTCATCATTTTGCTCTTAATTTCGATGTTTTTTGCTGCTTATGGTTCTGTTTGTGTATTGTGTATCTCATTTGATATATTTTTCAGATGGCTGAAAGTGATGCTAGATTATCCCCTAGTCCAAGTCCAGCAAAACGATCATCTTCGCGTTTATCATTGCCACACGAGTCAAAATGTGTATGGACTCTTTTGTTTGTTTATTTTCTGTTGGTAAAATACCACTACCTACATTATTCCAATATTATGTAGGGAAAATGGAAACTAATAATCCAACCTTTTAGTGGTCTTCTTACAATAGTCCCACCTTTTCATTATTCATGAATAATCCAAGCTTTGCACCCATCTTCATTCACTGGTCCCTGACCGATTTATGACCTGTTATTCCAAGTTATTTTCTTATCTTTTCAAGACATTATGTGATCATAAGGTGGGAATTATGGTATAATGTTTTGCAAAGATAAGAAAATAACTTGGAATAACATGTCATAAATCGGTCAAGGACCAATGAATGAAGATGGGGTGCAACGGTTGGATTATTCGTGAATAATGAAAATGTGGGACTATTGTAAGAAGCCCACTAAAAGGTTGGATTATTAGTTTCCATTTTCCCTATTATGTATATGAAATTCATCTTTTTCTTTTTAATATGTTTGTTTCAGACCTTCAAGAGACTGGTCAGCAAGGATGTTGTTTACAAGGACATAAAGAATAGGAGATTTAATACCTTTTCTTGACTTTATGACTCCGGCCATAAACCTTGTTAGGTCTAAACTTCATCCTCACGAACTTGCTTTTTTTGAGAAATCTGTTTTTGGAAAATTCTTATTTGCTAAGGAAATGTCATGTTGTGGTAAACTTATACATTACGTTTTAGGGGAACATGGTTGAGGTAAGCAACATTCAGAATGCTTTGTCGTTTGAAATCGAGGGTAGGATCGTCTCATTTTCTGTTTCCGATTTCTCGCACATTATGGGCTTTCATCTCAAATTTTGAACGCGGTTCATGTACTCGGTTCTACATCAATCAATGCAAACACAACACAGTTTCCAGTTACACGATGCTAAACAAACTTTAATTCAAAGCAATTTTTTCAAATCAAAATTCAGAAGGAAAGTTATGAAAAATTCAACGAAAATATGAAAAATTATGTTCGCAGTTACAATTCTCAGATCATCTCCATGTTCGCAGAAGTGTAGATGTGTAGTTATCGAATTCGAAATGATTAACACATACTTTAGATATTAAAATTACCTAGGTGAGTCGACGATGATCTTCTCCTTTGGTTTCCTTGTCATGTTCGTTCTTGCGGTTAAAGGAGTTGCAGGCGCAACCGGCTATTTCTTTATGCCGTTTTATTAGTTTTTCGTTTTTGACCGGCCACATCATTAAGCTGCGTATTTTTGGAAATTAATTCCTAAACTATGACCTTGGGCGTCAATTTTTAGGTCCAAAATTTTTATGGTCACTTTTATGGAAATATCCTATGCCCTAGTAATATTAGAGGATTTTTCCCAAAATTATTTAGAGTTTGTGCATAATAAAAAAGTAATTTATTAATTCCAAAACTCTAAATTTATTTTGCCTCCATTTTTCACCCAACAGATTCCCACACGATCACTACAAGTAAAAAATTTCATTCCCTCCAAATAACCATCTACAATAATGGTGTGTGAGACGATGTCATTAGGCCAGGGACGGAGGTAGGGGACTGGGCCCTGACTCACTCAAATTAAAAAGATGCTTGTGTTTTTACGATAAAAAATTATGTGTAAAAATTTGTCAGAAAAAAATATTTATATCGTTTTACTCCAACTTTTGCTCTTGCTTACTTAAGTGCTTACTTCTTCCACATGCCATCGCTAGTGACATACTAACATCATTGTCAATTTATAACAATAATCCTAAATGGGGCTTCTGAAAAGTCTTATAGAACAAGACAACTTTTTGCATATCAAAGAAAGAAAGAAGGCCTACAAGTAGCGGCCCATTTTGAGTTTATTAAAAGAGCTTGAGTTAGTTGAATCCTCACAACAATTTCAAATACCGTATATGTTTTGAAAAAACGCGCCACTATAAATACTTGAATTCCTCTCCTCTTCATTTAGAATTACAGAGTAGCACACTAGCACTCTCCAGCAAATAGATCGAAGATCAATAGCTTAAGGAATATGAGAAAGAGATCGGCGACAACGAGAAAGCCTATGGCGGAGGACCTTCTGAAGACTCCGCCGACTGCGGCAGCGAAGAACCCTAACCGTTCCTCCAGCGAGTCTCCGATGCCATTTGAGTTCAAGTTCAGTGCGTTCAATGCTACTACTCTGACGCCACCGTCATCTTCGAAGGAGAGACGTCCAGGAAAGAGCTCTAAGCCGATTCGGACCTCTAAGTCTCCGATGTCGGTAGAGAAGTGCAAGACGATAAACGATCTCAAGGACTTCGCGACCTCTGGACTGAACTCCATCAAACAGCAGCTCGATTGCTCGCACTCCGAGATCGTGAAGGACATTGAGACCACTCATTCTCGTATTCATAAGAGGATCAAGGTTTTATATGTGAATTTTCCAGTTTATGGATTAAATACTGTGTTAATCTGATTTGTGAATTTTGGTTACATATATGGAATGCGGCCATAGGCTTTTCTGTTAGATTTGTGCTTAATCGCCTTCTGATATTTTCAATGCGCTAAACTCAGAGATCGATTATTCCAATTTTACTATCCTTAAGCATGCTGAAAGCAGATTTTCTACAGGTTATTAAGCATTATGCACTTAGATCATTGCTCTTATCTGCTAAGTTGAAATTCATAGGTATCATGTAGAATCATATGGATATACTTCATACTTATCTGCATGTGTGAATAATACTCACACACACATATTGCATGTGTAGACAGTATGTAATTCGGAGTATGTTTATGCATTATCAGCATTGCCGTCACATGTGTCTGATACTCTGAAGCATGACTCTGCTTCACTGCTACCCACTGTATAGCTATTATACATAAGTACATGACACGATTATCTTTATTACAGATGGTGATGCAATAATTGTAATTTTGTACTCGTAATAAACATGCATGATTTAAAGGCTCACTGTGAATAATTGATCTTTTTTACAATGTCAATGAAGTTGAGTTTTTCCCATTGCTGACAATGTATAGTGATACAACTGTCTGCTGCTCAGTTTGCACTTGCTTAGTAACATGGAGGTGAAAATGGCATATTATTGTGTGTTAAAAATGTCTGTGGGATATTTAAACAGGTTCAAACACAAGCTTGTCAGCAAAGAGCAGACGAAGCAGAGAGGGAGCATAAGAAAATGTCTGAGAGAATCAAAGAAGGTCGGGAGGGAATGCAAGTCAGTCCTCCTCTCTTCACCCTCTGCTATTTGTACCGCATATAACTTTAGTGGACCATTATCCTTGTGTTCTCTCATGCTAATGCCATTTCATCCTGTTTGCTATCTGTATATTATTTTTAGGATTCATACAGTGAATTCATGGCAGAAGTGCAGGCTAACTCATCTCGTTGTGAGTTCCTACAGCTTTTTCTAGGTTTTAAGTCTTCTTACAGTTCCTACAGCTTACATACTGGCAGGAGTATACAATTTTGAAAGTTTAACACCAATACAATGAAGAGTAGATTATTGAGTACCCGAAGTTAATACTTCCTCCGTTCTTTAATTCTTACAACATAGTGATTTTTGCACTGTTCACAGATTTTCTACATATATATATATATATATAATCAAATTATTACGTATAAAATGTTATTAAATTCCTATCTATGTGAATTTCCAAAATATCAATTTTTTATAATGTTTACTATTTCCTCCGTCCCGCTAACAATGGGGCATGAGAGAGTGACACACAAATTAATAAAAAATGGTTTATGTGATTGATACTGAATTGATAAAGTAAGAATAAAGTAAGAATGATTTAGAGCCACACAAACTTTACTAAATTTGATATGTGACAATCTAATAGGACGGACCTATAAGTAAATGGGACAATCATAGCGGGATGGAAGTAGTAATACATAATTAAATATATATACATTCAAAGTAGTGCGTTGACAAACGTGAAAGTCATTGCAAAAATTAAAGAAGGGAGAATAGTATTTTGTTTCTTACTCTATTTAGTAACTAAACAGACGGTTACGAATTCAATTCCGGCACACCATTGACGCGGTCTTTCGTATCATACAATGCAAAATGCGTGTGGCTGAGTTGAGTTTTGATTTCATTTTTGATGATTGATGATTTGATTATTATGCTTTTGTTTTGTTGATGAAATTTCAGTCTGCAAAATATCAATTCCCGAGCTTTTGCAGTCAGTGGAGAAAGCCATAGACTCACTAAGGAGTCGCTACGGCATCTCCCCATCAACTTTTGCTTGCTAAGATTGCTCAAATTTGGAAATTGAGGCTTTTGTATTGCTTAGTTGCAATGTGCTACTCCAGAAACTTCATATCTCAGTAAAAGACTCATGTAAGCGTGTTAATTATCTTGCTGTGGGTGCTGGTGGGGTAGTTTGATTCAATATTGTACTCCGTATTGCTTAGTGCGCTAATACTGTATCCCATTGTGCGTGAACTATTAAATATTCCAACTTAAATGACCCATTGATGAACTATTTTCATACATACTGAACATATGATAGAAGTGTTTATGAACTATTTAAGGATATGAGCAGTGATTAATACGAGTAGATATTATGTGAAAAATAATTAATCCTCTATTGTAAAAGCGGGTAGTGTTTGGGGTAGTCTTTGTGGGAAGAAATAATTTTGAAAAAAATAAAAGATAAAATACAGTAACAAAAAGAGTTAATGACTTAAATAGGACTAATAGCAAAGTTAATTGCACATTTAAGACCACAAACGAAACACAACTTTCATAGGACCAAAAATAGCTTTATCGGACAAAAATACCCGTGTTATAATATTTCAACTAATGCTTGAGAAGGAATTGCACGTTGTACAAGGTCCATGAGCCGAAATTTTGGGCAACCGCAAATGGAAAAGCACCCCACGATTGCGTCGCCTGCCTCCAGCCATCCACCCTCACCGCCGCCTCCTACACGGGTGTCTCCATCCTTAGCAAGCCCACCAGCATCGCCATCTGCCGCCATCGCGACTATTCTCTGCCGTCTTTGCCGCCCAATCGTCACAGTCGGCGCTGCCACTTTGGTCACCATCACCGCTTTTATCAAAATTATCGTCAATGTCAATTTCAGGGCCATAACTTCGACCCAGAGCACCGCCGCCGTCGTCACAACTCCAGCGCCATATATCTGCCATTAAGTTGACAGATTTAGCCTTGAAGATTAATTACAAATCTTTCATGAAAATGAATTTTCAAAACTGCCATAAAATTGGCAGATTTATTTTGCAAATTTATACAAAACCCCTTTTGCCATAAAATTGGCAGATTTATTTTGCAGATTTATACAAAATTGGCAGATTAATACACATTTCTGCCAAAAACTTGAAAAATGTGAAGTTATCATCCAAAATTTTGAAAAATCATTTTTAACTAATAAATCAGAAATCAGAAGTTCAGAACGGTGAAATAGTAGTCTGAAAACTAATAAAATCAATGTCAAATCCCAAAAAATGGAAGAATAGAAGGAAAATCAAAAAAATCAATGTAAATTTCAGAAAATTAGAGGAATAGGGGGAGGGGGAGGAGGAGGAGAAGGAGGAGGAGGAGGAGGAGGAGGAGGAGGAGGAGGAGGAGGAGGAGGAGGAGGAGGAGGAAGAAGAAGAAGAAGAAGAAGAAGAAGAAGAAGAAGAAGAAGAAGAAGAAGAAGAAGAAGAAGAAAAAACCTGGCAGCGATGTACAGAGACGAATGGATGACGGTGCGCAGGGAGAACGGTCGATCTGGTGCGGCGCAAGGCGGAGAAGAGTCTATGGCAACGGTGATGGTGCACAGGGAAGTCGGCAACGATGGCGTGAAGGGAGGAGTACCATGGTGATGAATTGTGCACAGGAGGAAGGGATCTATGTGTGTGCAGGAGAGAAGTAGATCGAGCAGTATAAATCAGGGGCAAATTAGGAATGAAATTTACGTATGTTTTAGAATAGGAGTAAATGAGTCCTATTTGTGGAGAAAAACATACATGGTCCTATTTGAGAATTTCTCTTCTCTTTTAGTTGAGGCAATAAACAAAAAGTAAATTTTATTTTAAAGAAAAATTGAAAAACAATTTAAAGAATTCATTCCCTCGCTTTAAACTTTTAGTTTCAAAATTCTTAATTTAAACATAAGTAACTCATTAATAATACTATACTTGATGTTTTAAAGCTGGATAATACTTTTTTAAGCAATGGATTATCAATAGTTTATTTGGTCATTTAGTGCGCGTGTCATTCCAATTTAGTTGGTCAGGTTCTGACCGCCGTTCTTGGAGTAAAGTGTGATTATAAATATAGGACCAAACGTATAATTTTTTTTTGCTTTTGGGGATTTAAGTGGTTTTATTTTGGTTTTGGGGATTCACTCCACCTTTGAAACGTAAAAAAAGTAGGACTTTTTACCTAAATATTACTAATTTAGAGACAATTTCCAAAAATGTGACCACTATTACAAAAGGACAAAAAAGTGATGAAGGAAGTCATATATTTGGAAAAACATAATTCTACCATATTTTTATGTCATTGTTAGTTTTTTATGTCACTGATTTTTTGTCACTTTTGAATGTCACTGTCGGTTTTCGTGTCACTTTAATATGTCACTCCGCCATGAAACGTGTCACTGCCACCGTCAAACGTGTCACTGTGTCGTTAACCATCTCCGCCCAAGCATCCTGCCACAGTGACACATAAATCCGGCCACCGCCCTCCAGTCAGTTACCACCGCCTCCCCATCGGTTACACCATTACCCAGCCCCTGCACCACCACCACTATCGCACCCCCCACACCACCGGTCCCCCCCACTCCCCAGCCCTGCACTACCCCAACATCCCTAACCCACACCAGTTCTTGACCGTCGCTACACCACCCCAACTCCCTCCCTGACCTTCCAACTCCCCATCCAACATCCCAGCCCCCTCCCCGACCTCCCAGCTCCCTGCGCCGTGACACAACCCTAGTCGACGTCGCACAACGCTGCCCCCATTACCCTGACCAAACCCTAGCCGCCTCTGTCCACCATTTCCGCCTCCTAAACCCAAATTCTAGCCTTTGTTCGTATATTGACATAGCACTGTCCACCGCAGAACCATAGCCACCGTCCATCTCCGAACTCTAGCCACCATAGCATTCAGAGCAAAATCCGTTCGTCGGCAAAGAAGAAAGGCGAAGAAGAGAATTGAGATGGTGATGGTATCAAACCTAGGGGCGGCCGACTCTGGTGGAGGCGGTGACCTATGTTGTCTTCGGCGGAGCTTTTGATATGGAGGATGCGTAATTGGGTAGATGGAGAGGGCAGAAGATCTGGTGCGTGGATGAGTAGATCTGGGAGAGAGAATGCGCAGAGAAGGAATCAGGGATCGGGAACGGGTGGACTACCTTCTTACTCTCTTTTTTGTCCTTGCCAAATTTGGTCATATTTTTGTCTAATAAAACTTGAGAAGTAATACTCATGCCATTCTTTCAAAAAAGTATCCCCTCTCCCTTATAACTTTATCAAGTTTTCTTTTTTAGTTGTCCCAAAAAATTTGCCACTTTACCTTTTAGTCAATCAATTTGTGGTTTATGTTATTTCTCTTTTCTCTGCACAAATTTCTACAACACAATTTTTACTTTATTATTCTACATGCCGGTCAAATTTGACAATCCTTTTAGGGATGGATGGAGTATAAGTCCGTACAATTGGTACAAAATACTCCGTATATACTTGTTGTATCAAATACTATGAAGCTTACGGTGCCACGTGGAATTACATGTTTCAAGCGACCAAACTTGAGATTGAGAATAATTTACTCCGTATTTTTTTGGATCAAAGAGAATAATCTATTTTTTTGAGGACAGGGTAAGACCAACTGACCAAGCACATCCCATCCTCCAACTCCATTTTAGGTAGGAGCCTTTATAGCACAAGGATTGATAATGTTATTATGTTGTTGTTGTAGTTTTTGCTAGGATAGGCTTGCTCGTTTGGCGTTTCAATTTATTAGGAATTGAATACTCCGTATACATTAGCTATTAATTTGAATACTTCGTATATTAGCTATTAATTTGATTGTATCGTACGCGGATCAATAATATTGTACCACATGGAAAATTATTAAAATATACTTTCTCAGTCCCAAATTGTAAGATACATTTACTATTCACTTGGTCAACATAAATCACTCTTAATCTTTTACTTTATATATCAAAAGTTTATGATATTTGAATTATTTTTGCAGGTTTTGTAGCGGTTTTAATGTAATTTCTGAATATGTAAATTTTATTTTTTAAAATTAATTTGAGTGTTCACAGGGATCAATTTGCTTTATCGTTGGTCAAACATCGTTAACCGTAAATTATCTTACAAATTGGGACGGAGGGAGTATATGAATTTTAATGTCCATGTGGCATTGTTTTATTTGCCTATGTAAGAAAATGTACGGTACATGCGAAATTTAGAGATGCACCGTGAAATTTTCCAAAATACCAATCAAGGTACTCATCATGAGTCATTACCATATTTGTATAAAACATGCTAATTTCAATTGAGATGAAGATTGCTTAATATGTACTACATATTAGGTTTTCCACTCATTAGAACATCTCCAATGATACAATATGCACAGTGCACGTGTAACATGAGAGAAATAGACACATAAATATTAATGATCAATATATATCTCTTCTTATTTGAAAGATCTTATATGTTTTTGATAAATTTTTCTTCAGAATGTCAAGACGGGTGTCTAGATGTAGAAATTGGATTTAACATTGTTTGAAAAAGTTACTAAACTTAAACTACGTATAAAACTGTGGAAAGAAAGAGAGAGAAATGTGAACAATTTGTTTTTCTATATCTATCACTCGCATGTCACAGACACATGGTGCCTCGTACACATTGTGGCATTGGAGATTCTCTTACATTCCAAGAGGATACAATTTCATGTTTCATTTTCAAGATAATATAATGTCACATTTCAAGATATATAGTGATAGGGTGGTTCATATTTATTCTTTGTACTACTCCATAGTCCATACCAGATAATGCGGGTCTACTAATATGCATTTTTCTTCAAATAAAGTATATGTTATTATTGATTTATGAATGATAATTAGTACAGAATACTTCGTATTATTTTAAGTTATTTCCCCTTTTTCAATTCATATTTCCAAGTACCTTGTGGTTCGATGACATCACTGTGACACTCCCAAGAAAGAGGTTACAGATTCTAAATCCATTCCAATCAAGAATGTTACATTTAACAAAAGAAATACTATGTGTTGAGGTTTAGTCCCGTAGATCTGAAAGTCGAACACCAACTTTGGATATATCAGGAAAATGGGTCAAGAATCACGTGTATAAAGAAATATAAAAGATGAATAATCGAATACTCAAAAGCCCACTTGTATTAAGTAATTTGGTGATTACGTAGTAAACTTCCCGAACGGTACGTCAGAATAGTGACTAATACAAGAAATAAGAGAGATAAATCTATTCTAGGCCTTGAGTATCAACAAGCTAACCTTTTACAATGAAATTAATCCTTCTATTTATACTAATGGGGTGGTATGGGGTGCTCCATCCTAATTGGTTGCTAATTCGGCCACTTTAAATCCATACTCCCATTTGCTGCCGCCATACTTTAGCAATAAATGCTCCCTGCCACTTGTTGGCTACCCGCTACCCGAACAGGTAGTGGACCCTGCCGGAGTCATCACTGATCTGGCCTAGGTACATTGGTTGACCCGAACCCCGTTCGGTACATATTTCTCCATGAGCCTGTTCATTTTCTGGATTCTGGTCTCGTTTAACGGACTGGATATATTGGGCCTTTGGATCCGGGTATTGGGCATGTGGTCCAATATCCGAACACGAGTCCCCCACTTCCGATGTCTCGAACGGTAGTGAGTGCATTGGGAAGTAGAACTTACATGCCGAATGGTGATCGGGGTCCAGAGTTCGCTGGTTCCCCATGTCATGATTAGTACCTTTCTTGCGGCTGTCGTTTGATTTTTTCCATAATCATCATGATTATTGGCCCTTGATCTCCTATGCGACACATGTCCTTTCAAATAATCCAGGTAGCATGTCTTCTTCTGATTGGTTATTGATTCGGTGCCTGTCACGCTATAAATGGGCCTTGAAATCCTTGGATATGGGTTTTGAATTCTCATTTCCTTCGAGCCCTTATTCTGCCTTCTCTCCAGCTACTTCAAGCTTTTCTGAGTTCAGGTATTCCTCGTTCTTTACTTTTTCCTCCACTCTTTCTGCCTCGGTCGCTATGTGTCCTCGATCCTGCTCCTCTGATTCGGGAACGGCTTTGCAAGGGGAAAATCAAGATGCCGCCGTAGTGGACGTCATACATGTCCCTTTTGCTGAAGACACCAATGAGGCGGCGGAAGATAATAGGGCGGAGGTAGAGGATTCTTCCGCCGATTCTTCTTCTTCTGATGATGATGATTCCGACGATACGCAGTCTGGTGACGAACTTGCTTCCATGGCGGCTGGACCCCCTATCGAAGTTCCTCGTTACAAGATTGACCTAAGGCTGATTAGGGAAAGGCGGCAGAAGCTGATCTCTCACAATAGGGCCCAAATTCCGTCCCTAATTCCAGACCCAGTGAATTTTCGGTTGCGGGTTGGGCTTCACCCAATGCGCCATCTCCCTGGGATGGTCGTAGTCCACTTGGATTCCGTTAAGGCTGGGCTTAGATTCCCATTGCACCCCTTTTTTGTTTCTTTTTTAAATTTCTACGAAATTGTATCAGCCCAAGTCATGCCGAACTCCTATCGGGTGATGGCTGGCTTTATTGTCGTTGTGTAGATGTTAAGGTCACACCTACTTTAGATTTATTCCACCAATTTTTTAATGTAGCCCCCCAACAAACTCATGTGTATTTACCTGCAACTGCCCGAAC